GACTAAACCAGGACCAAGGTACTAAAGAAAGAGTAATATGAGGAGCTTTTAACAACATAGAAGGAAGCAAATAGAATGAAATAATGAGAACTCCAGAAAAAGGTTTAGATTCCTTTTACTCTATAGATTTGTCTATAGGTTCCCCTTCTATATCTTTTATTCTCCTCCCTGCAATTTTTGGGGTTCAACTTTATTGAAATATAATTGAGATATTTTTTCACTTTTTTGTTTTTTATCATGGAAATTTCAAACATGTACAAAAGGATAGTGTAGTATGTACTATGTACCCATTACACAGCTTCAATTATGTCCAGTTTAGTTTTCTCTAAACCTCCATAATTCCACTTCCACCACTTGGATTATTTTTAAAAAATCCAAAATATTATATCACTTAATCTATAAACATTTCAGTATGCATCTGTAAAAGATAAAGATTCTTTCTAAATCATAACCACATTACTTTTATCACAACTGAAATAAATTACCAATTACTTAATATCATAAAATATATGTCCCAGTGCTCAAAATTTCCCTGATTGTCTTTGTTTTTTGTTGTTTGTTTGTTTGTTTTGTACTGTGGATTGAATCCAAGGGCGCTTTACCAATGAGCTGCATCCCCAGCCATTTCTTTGTTTTATTTAGAGACAGGGTCTAAGTTGCTTAGGGCCTTGCTAGGTTGCTGAGGCTGGCTTTGAATTTGAGATCCTCCTGTCTCAGCCTCCCAACCTGCTAGTAATACAGATATGCACCACTACACCTGGATCCTGGTTGTCCTTTTTAAAAAAACTTTTTATAGTTTTATTTTGTTTTTTATTTCCATGTGGTGCTGAGGATCGAACCCAGTGCCTCACATGTGCTAAGAGAGAGCTCTACCACTGAACCACAACCCCATCCCCTGATTGTCTTTTTTAACAGTTGTTTCACTTGTGTCAAAATCAGAATTAGGACTCTCCAGGAAAGGTAATAACACTGCAATTGGTTGATGTATTGCTTAGGTGGTGGTTGTTGTTTTAATGGTTTAAAGAGTTTAGTAGAGATGTTGTTTAGTTTAACTTTAAATGAGAACTCCAGAAAAAGGTTTAGATTCCTTTTATTCTATAGATTTGTCTATAGGTTCCCCTTCTATATCTTTTATTCTCCTCCCTGCAATTTTTGGGGTTCAACTTTATTGAGATATAATTCATACATACAGCATAGTGTTGGTCCATTTAAATGTACAATTAAAGAGGTTTTAGTACACCCACAGAGTTATGCAACCATCTTAACAATCAAATTTGGAACATCTTCATCACCTCAAAAAGAAAATTCATACCCTTTAGCTGTCAACCCCCAATATTCCCAATTACCTTCCAGTACTAAGCAATCATGAATCTATTTTTTCTGTATATTTGCTTATTGTTAGCATTTAATATAAATGCAATCACATAAGATGCGGTTTTTTGTGACTGGCTTCTTTCACCCGGCATAATGTTTTAAAGGTTCATGTATGTTACAGCATGTATCAAAACTTTGTTCCTTTTAATGGCTGAATAATATTCTTTTATAGGGATATATCACAATTTGTTAGCCATTAATCAGTTGACAGAAATTTAACATTTTCCTACCTTTTGTTTACCATGAATAATGCTACAATAAGTGATCACGTAGAAATTTTATGTGCACATGTTTTCATTTCTCTTAGGTGCGTAAGTGCTTGATCACATGGTAATGTTATGTTCAACTTTCTTTTTTTTCCTTTTTGGTACCAGGTATCGAACCCAGGGTTGCTTAAACACTGAGTCACCTGCAGCCCTTTTTAATATTTTATTTAGAGACAGGGTCTCGCTGAGTTGCTAAATGCCTTGCTAATCTGCTGAGACTGGCTTTGAATTTGCAATCCTTCTGCCTCAGCTCACAAGTTGCTGGGATTAAAGGCATGCACCATTGAGCCCAGGTATGTAACCTTCTAAGAAACTGCTGAGTGTTTTCCAGAGTGGCTACAGCATTTTACATCCCCACCCCTGTAGCATATGAATAATACTCTACATTTTCTCCATATCATTGTCAACATTTGGTATTATCTGACTTTTTGATTGTAGCCATCCTAGCAGGTGTGGATTGGTATCTTATTGTGGTTTTGATTTGCATTTCTCTAATGAATAAAGGTGCTGAGCATCTTTTCATATATTTTTCGTCATTTGTACATCTTTGGAGAAAAATCTATTCAGATCTTTAGCTTATTTTTTTAAGTTGGGTTATCTTTTTATCTTTAAGTTGCAACAAACTTTTTATATGCTAATCTCTCATTAGATATATGATATGCAAATATTTATCCTCATTCTGTGAGTTGTCTTTTTGAATTCTTGTTAGTGTCCTTTGAAGTACAAAACTTTTTCATTTCAATGAAGTCAAATGTATCTCTTTTGTCTTTTATTGCTCTTGCTTTTGGTATCATATCTAAGAATTCATTGCCTTAATCCAAGGCTATGAAGATTTACTACATTTTCTTCTAAGAGTTCCAAGTGTATAAACTCTTTTAATATAGACTTTGCAGTTTATGAGTCTCTGGGATAATATGGATTTTGCTTACTCCAAAGGGTCCAGTATTCTCCAAATGTCTGATGTCTTCCGCAATTATGAGGCCCTGAGTTCAGAACAAATTATCCAAAACTAGAAATTAAAATGCCTTTAAAACTTGCAAGTAGAGGGGCTGGGGTTGTGGCTCAGTGATCAAATACTCACTTAACATGTGTGAGGCATGGGGTTCAATCCTCAGAACCACATTAAAAAATAAATAAAATAAAATAAAGGTACAACTAAAAATATTTTTTTTTAAATTGAAAGTAGGTTTGAGAATTCTCAAATATTATTAAACTGTTGGAAAATAGCTTCTATGAGAAAAAGATAAAAGAGTCTAGATAATTACACTTCAAGATGAGACTTTAATGTGAAGAATAATTATTTAGTGTAATTCACAAAATAATCCATTGGGGTAGAGAATTAAAACATCAATATACTTACTTTTCTCATTTTGAAAAATTTCTATGTTGGAGTATTTTAATGTACATATCTTATAGGTACAAAATAATGCATAGAATATGTTGTACATGTATATAATCTATAAATACATATAAAAATGTTGAGATTTGTCTTTTGTGTTGCTATAACAAAAGCCCGAGGTTGACTTATGAAACAAAGAAATTTATTTGGCTCATGATTTTAGTGGCTGGAGGATATGAACAGCATAGCACCAGCATCTTGGTGTAGGCCCTTCAGATGCATCACAGCATGCAGAAGGGAAAAGGTAAATGGCTAAGTGCAAAAGGGGTACCTAGTGTGCCTTCATTTTATAACAACTTGCTGTTGGAAAAGTGTCCCACTACTGAGAGACCCAGACCACTCTTCAAGAACAGCATTAATCCATTTATGAATGTGGAGCCTCCTTGAGCTAATTACCTTTCCACTAGGCTCCACCTATTAAAGATTCTACCACTTAAACACCCCCACACTGCGGACCCAGCTTCCTGCACATGAACCTTTGGGGGATAAACTATATTCAAACTCTAGCCGGGTCAATGCTCAATCATTTTCTGTCTTTTATTTCAGATTAGAATGTCTGAGTAAAAATTTAATTTAGAGGATTTGTGTGTATGTATCTTTTCTCCATCAGAAGAGTATTATGCTATATTTGTGTGGGAAGTAGTGCTGGTTTAAATTAAGAACACAAGGGATTCCGTGAAATTGATTTATTTTATTTAAAAATAACCACAGTTATCGATGATACAGCATTTATATTCAACAAATATTTTGTGAGTATATCATATGCATCTAGGCTCTGTGACTATGCTAGTGAACCTAAATAATTCACAGTCCTTGACCTCATTGGGCAATATAGCTTAGTGGGGGAAGAAAACTATCAACCAAATAATTATACTTTTTAATTTACCACCATAAATGATAACTGTTATAAAGTAAAAATACAGCAAACTGCAGGAGACTATAAGATAATAACTTGAGGCACTGTCTCTATTCTGATGTTATGGAGCATGGTTATCCTGAGAAGTGATGTTTAAGCTGGGACCTGGTGGGATTGATTGAGTGGTGTTTGACTTGTGAAGAGGTAGAGGAAGAGTGGTCTAAATGGTGAGAGGTTGGGTGTGAAGGCCTTTCAGGGGCACATGATGAATACAGGCAGTGCTACACAGACACAGGTTTTCAGACAACAGAGAAGCTTAAAAGATGAATCTGATTCATAGTGAGGTGGAGTGCAAGTTAAATGACCTCGGGAGATTTATCTTTGATTCCAGGAGGTGAGGGGAATCACAAGCTATTTGACAGTACCAGAGACATAGGATTTGACAGTACCAGAGATGCAGGTAGGCACAGTTGGAACACTGAATTCTACCCCAACAACAATTCTGAGAACCTCAAGTAATGGTGTCTGTGGTCCCCTAGACAATAACTGGTAAGGATAAAGGGCTCTGTGTCTTCTGTGCCTAAGCTACAGATGTGGTGGGACTTTCCTTTTGGACTGTCATGAGAATTACATGAGCAGTAACCACCTCCAGGGACTACTAATGTTGTGATTGTATTTCCTGAGTTATTTGAAATGAGAAGATGTATGTGTGTCCCCTTGGCAAAAATGAAAGGATTTGGAGTTCCGGTAAACGCGGTGGATCGGTGGGTAACTGCAGGGAATGGGGCTGTGGCTAGCTCTGTCTGAGGACCTTAAGCCCCTCGTTGCAGAGGAGCTAAACCAGAGAGTAATGTTTGACGCCCATTGTGCCTACTAATAATAAGGCTAGGGGAGAGGAAGGATGATGAGGGAGATCAGGGTTGGGCACTGAGCAAGAAATAAGAACGAGATAGCCAGGGAGCGCTCTCCACGTGGAAGGGCGCGAAGCGGCCACAATGGGTCCCCAGCGCCAAGAAAGGGGCACGAGGAGGCGGCGCGGGCCCCGCCCCCTCCCCTGGCGGGCGCGGGCGCGAGACGCTGCGCGGCGGCAGCGGCGGGAGCGAGCGGCAGCTGTCAGGCCACAGAGGTCCAAGCTGCACTTGCTGCCCCATTGAGGACGAGGCAGCAGCAGGAGCTGTGACGGTGTCGCTGAGGAGCCATACTCGCGGCACGCAGAACTGACCTGCCTGGTACCCGCAGCCCTCTCCTTTCTCCTTCCCATTGTGTTGGGTAAGGTGCCTGTGCGTGGGCAGAAAGAAGGGCTAAGACTGGCGGACCCGGGAGGCCAGGAGGTGGGGGCCTGTGGGAAGAGGGAGAAGGGACCTTATAGGTGACCCCCAGGGCCACCTGCACCTTAGGAAAAGGGCCTAGGCTCTGCTGGGGTCGGAGTCGGGGATATTTGATGGTGGAGGGGGCGTTGCTGAGTAATCCGTAGTGGCTGCCAAAGCCCGGCAGAGGCGCAGAGCTCCTTGGGGAGCGGGTGTGGCCCACTGCGCATGCACCACAGCTGACTCCCTCTAAGAGCTGGGGGGTGAGGTGAGAGGACCTGGGTTCTAGGTAGTTGGGACTATACGTGGCATCTCACTTCCTAAGTCCCGAATGCTAACAGTGCAGATGAGGTACGTTTGCCAGCATTCCTGGTCTCCTAAGCGAGCTTCTTTAATGTCATCAAAACCTTACCTACCTATATTGGGGGTGGGGGAGTGGCCTAGGAACAGTGCCAAATTGCTACCTAGTGTGTCTTTGGGCTTATAGCCCCAGAGCTGTGGTTGTGAAGAGCCAAAGATTAGACATGAAATTCTACATTGGACCCTTTGAGTTGCAAATAAAATATAAAAGTGGGCATGAATGTAGGAACAGCATTTCAGTGACATGGCAGCTATGACATTTGTACTCATAGCAGGTATATAGCTGACAACTTGTTTCTACAAAATGAATCTAGTGCGTCATAGAGCTTTCCCACTTCGAAACACCTCCCCCCCCCGCCACACACACACACACACACACACACACACACACACACCAAGCATCAGGTTGTATTAGAAACAATCTACATCTTTTTATGTTAAAGGATCTGAAAGATCCAATCATTTCTTATTTGTGTTGGTTTTTACATATGTTAAAGAAAGCCACACTCAATTCTCCAATTCAGTATTTCAGAATATTGTGCTAGAATTCAACAGAGAGTTGAATGGCCCTAATCAGTTTGTTGCAACAAGATGGGCTTTCCCCACAAATCCAGTTATGGCTTCTCCTCTGTGCAGACTTCCACGAAGGCTACTCTCATACACTGCCTAACCATCCCCTGTTGCTCTTCCCCCACCCAGCCCTGCAGTACACATCCCTTTCAAGACTTGCTCTCAAACAATATGCACTACTGATTTTGAGCACAATTCCGTCCCATGGCAACTGGACTGACATTGTCTGTTTGCTTGTCTGCCTCTCTCCTGTCATCACACTAAAGTGTACTATTTTCAAAGGTTCAATCTTTCTCTTCATTGTACTGCTTCTCCTTCACCTCCACCCCCACTCACAAGCATCTCCAACTAAATACAATAATTTTAATAGCCTGTGTGGGTGCAGGAACAGCAGATTCAAAAGGTTTCAAGTGTGCTGAAGAACAAAGAGCTGGGGATTACTGAATTCTCAATTCACTATACTGTCCAAGACTGAGACCCTAATTGGAGAAAAAATGAATAAGCTATCTTCAGAGAGTGCTTGTTAATCTGTTTGGGGGTAACAAAGGGGAATTGCATCTCTTGGATATTTGAGTCAAAGCCAGATCTTTCTCTGAATAAGATTAAAATCAGAATAAATATTTTGGTGCAAGGGCTGGAGTTGTAGCTCAGTGGTAGGGCACTTACCTAGCATGTGCAAGGTCCTAGGTTAAATCCCCAGGGCTGGGGGAAAAAATTGGGTCCAAATCATAGCCTATATAGGACTACAAGGAATGCATACAGAAGTTGACTTTTCTATTAAATGTATTTTTAATTATCAAAGTTTTTTGCCTTCTTAATCCTACCTTCTTTTAAGGTTTGGATTAAATATGGCATATTCTGGGGGAGAAAATTATTTCATTGGTTTTTATACTATGCAGGTTGTTTTTTAATTTAAATATGTAATGAAGGACATCATATTCACTTTCAAACATTGACAAATAATAGTAGGGATGATAGCATCCATTGAAAACATGAAGTAATTTGCTCATGATATTTTTTTGGTACTGGGGACTGAATTCAGGGGCACTTGGCCACTGAGCCACTTCCCCAGCCCTATTCTGTATTTTATTTAGAGACAGGGTCTCACTGAGTTGCTTAGCATCTCACTTTTGCTGAGGCTGGCTTTGAACTCATGATCCTCCTGTCTCAGCCTCCCAAACTGCTGGGATTATAGGTGTGTGCCACCATGCCCAGCTGCTCATAATTTTAGTAGTAATGGAGATAGTGTTTGAAATATTTATTAATTTTTAAAATGTGGTAGGGGAAGGAAACTAGAGCATTTCCAGATGGAATTCCTATTAAATCCTGTCTGAAAAATGATCCAGTGAAGTTCATCACTTCTACTCTTTAGGGACCTTTCATAAAATAATATTTGGACATTTTATAGAACTGTAGATCTATTGTATCTTGGCATTAATTCAGAGGCATTAATTCTCCTGCGTGATCAGTTAATTCATAACCAAATCTTTATTGATTATCGCTATGAAGGTGTTGCATGCTAAAGGGGCTTCAGAGAAATATACAAGCCAACATGGTATTACACGCCTAGAATCGCAGCTACTCAGGAGGCTGAGGGAGGAGAATGGCAAGTTCAAGGGCAGCCTGCAAAGCTTAATGAGACCCTGTCTCAAAATAAAGAATAAAAAGGGCTGGGGATGTAGCTCAGTTGTAGAGTACCCTTGGGTTCAATCCCCAGTACCAAACACAGGGAAAAAGATATATACCAACAGAGGTCTTATTATCTGGGAATTCTTTTTGTACTTTTCAGTTATACATGACAGTAGAGTATAATTTACCTATTTATACAAACATGAAGTACATCTTATTCTAATTAGGATCCTGATATTATGGTTGTACACGATGTAAAGATTCACTGTGGCATATTCATATATGTACATAGGGAAATTATGTTAGAACCATTCCACTGTCTTTCATATTCCTTTAAAATTCCTTCAGGAATTTTAAATTGATTGTGTAGGAAATACATACATTAAAATTTTGTTAACAAAATCAAGCAGTATAATGTCAATTATATAGAATGAGTTTTTTAATTGAGTCATAATATTTGGATACATCTGTGGGGTACAATATCATAATTTTATATGCATACATAATATGTAATGATCAAATCAGGGTAGTAAGCACCTCCATCTCCTCAGACATTAATAATTTGTATGTTTTGGGAACTTTCATATTCTTCTAGTTATTTTGAAATAGATCATAGAATTTCATAGACAGTATATACCCTGCTTGAGATCTTAAGTTTATATGTTAATTTGTAAACTTGAGGGAAAGTCCTTGCCTTAAATACTTATGCATTTCAAATTTCATCATGGGTGTTCAAGTGATGAAGCTTTACAAAGATTGGGTAAAGTGAAACCAGAGACAGGCAGAGAAGAGCCAGGAAGCTCTCAAAATAAATTGGATATGAGGAGATATGGATCAAATTGAGGATGGAGCTGGGCCTTGTGGCTTGTACCTGTATTCCCAGATATTTGGGAGGTTGAGGCAGGAAGATTGCTTGAGCCCAGGAGTTCAAGGCCAGCCTGAGCAACATGGTGAGAATAGTGAGATCTTGTGTTAAAACAACAACAAGATGGTAGAAAAGGGCATTTTAAGGAAATGTCAATAGGATTTAGTGACGGAGACAAGCCTAAATTTCATTCATTTCTACTTCTAGTGAACAAATGGGAATTGGAAACATCAGGGGGTGGGTAGAGGATCATCTTGGTAAGAACACAGCACACAATAAGACACTCAAATATCTCCTCAATGTCAGTAGCAGGATTCGACCCAAGATCCTTTAGGTCCTTGCAGTGCTGAGATTCTGTGCCATAGGCAGATGCCCAAGATTATTCAGAAATAAGTTTTTCTTAGCTATGGAAGAAAGAAAAGAAAAAAAAATTATCCTCTAACTAGCAAGCCCTTTCTGAGAAGGGTGAATACTGAGACAGAGATCCCGACCAGTGAATGAAAGGGGATGGAGGAGCCAAGGGAACAGAAATCTCAAGCCAACACTTTCAAGAAATGCTTACAAATATTTACAAACATCCTAAGTTGTTCTCCTCTAAATCCCGTGAGTTAAATAGGGAGGGTATTACCAGGTCTGTTTTTGTAATAGGAAGATATTGAAACAGAGGAAGATTAAATGACCTGCCTAAGTACATAAAATAAATGAATAGTGTCACAGTGAGGAAGACCCTGATATCCTATTGGCTGCCAGCCCAGTGATTTTGACAACGGAATTACATTGGTTTTCCTCCTTTATCCCTGGCACAAAGCCTATGTACCCAGAAGGTATGCGTGCACATAACCAAATGGAGAAATGTACAACTGAAGCATTATCTCAGATAGTTATTAATACTTAATCATTATTCCTGGAGCTGAGTATTTGGTTTCCATATTCATTCAGTCCAAGAACCATCTATTGAGTTTATCCACAGCCGAGAAAGTAAGGTTAATGAGTCATTTAATGATATGAACACCTGTTTGCTAGGAACTTCAGGAAACTCACTTGACATGCACCATTAATAATAGCAATCAGTGTTGTGCCCAAGTTGATACTTCCTTCTGTTACTTTTTAAAAGAGTTAAAGAGTACTGAATTGTAAAATTATCCTATAGACCAGTATGAAAAATAAGTGTGAGCTGGGGTGTAGCTCAGGGGAAACTCACTTGCCTAGCATGGGCATGAAGACCTGGGTTCAAGCTCCAGCACCACAAAAAAATAAATAAATCAAGAAACAAAGGAAGGAAAGAAGGAATAAAGGAAGAATATAATAAAGAGATAATAAAGAAGTGTGCTGACACTTGTTCCACCTCCATTACAAGAAATGTTTGTTCCTGGAGCTAGATTCAACAACATTTTGAAAATCAGATAAAAATTTTTTAAATCAGATAAAAATAGGACAAAAAAATTCAGGAGTTGTAGGAGACTTGAGAATTCTATAGAGTAGATACAGATCAAGAAGGAAGACAAAGCCTATTAATTTAGGAGATATTGTTTAAATTCATAATTACTGATTTACATGAACTCCTGATTATTTTTTAAATAGCATGGAATTACTAAACCTAGGATTTTTGTAAAGCTTCTTTATCCCTCAGTAAGAAAGAACACTAAACAGTTCTAGGAACTGTTTTTCTTTTGAGGCCAGTACTTTTTTAAAATTTTGTACCAGGGATTAAACTCAGGGATACTCAACTACTGAGCCACATCCCCAGCCATATTTTATATTTTATTTAGAGACAGGGTCTCACTGAGTAGCTTAGTGCCTTACTTTTGCTGAGGCTGGATTTGAACTCACAATCCTCCTGCCTCAGCCTCCTGAGCCACTGGGATTACAGACATGCGCCCCCATGCCCAGCTGGTGCTACTGGTGCCAGTACTCTTGATGTTGCTTCAATAAGACTCTTACCATAATTAAGTATAATATTAAATGAAAGTATGTTTGAATTAAATAAGGCAAGCTAAATATTAACACCTGTGTTCAAGATGATGATTTAAATTAACGAATAAAATAATTAGCCAAGAGTATATATTGTAAACAGGAAGCCCACAAACATAATTTTATTTTCTGCTCTGATCATAAGAAATCAATGAGACACAACCTCAAGGCAGATTGGTGAGTGTACTAATGACTTTTTGGAGTTGAGAAGGTTGGTAGGTATAAAGGGAACGAGTTTTATTTCTGAATTAATATTTCAAAATGTTTAGATTCCTCTGTTCTTTCTTTTTACTGAACATCACCTATTAGGATTATCAGCTACTCTCTTTGATTTACTTTTATTTGAGTGAAGAATTCAATAGAAAAATGACATCATTTAAATTTTTTTTTCTTTTTTTTTTTTTTTTTAGTTGTTGATAGACCTTTATTTCATTTATTTATATGTGGTGCTGAGAACTGAACCCAGTGCCTCACACATGCCAGGCAAGTGCACTACCGCTAAGCCCCAGCCCCAGCCCTGACATCATTTTTAAATTATATAAAGTACACTCAAATTAGGAAAAGTTAAATTTTTGTGATAAAATCGTGTTCATTTTAACATCTGAATCAGTTTGAATTCAAGTGTATTCGTGAAAAGTATCCTCTGAAAGTTAGTCAAGATTGCTTGAATGTATTTTCTTTTTTCATTATAATTTCCATTTTATTTTTTTATTTTTCCCTGAGAATAGCTTTTCTTCACTCCTTCAGGACCTTACATGGGCTTTGGTGGAAGTTATGGGGCAGCGCCAGCAGGTATAAATCATCTGGGTGGGGGTGTTCCGTCCTTCCAGGCTTCCCAAGATTAGGAAATCACCTTGCTGTGAATGGTACAACTGACACAGTAATGCAGTTTAACAAAGAGCTTGGGAAGCATGTAAGCATTAAAAACACTCTCCAGAAATGTCCTTGATGGCTGCAGCTTCTACAATGATGTTTTGAATGAGGAACTTTTTAATGGCCTTGTCCTGAGGTACACACTGGGTACAGTTCATACAATGAATAGGGTGCACAGGCCTTTTTTGGCACAAACATTATTCCTTCTTTTTTTTTTTTTGTTCATCTTGGAAGCAAGAACCAAAGAGAACTTGAATGTATTTTTATATAGAGACTTACCTTAATTTTATTATGCATGCTTTTTAAAAATAATAATGTTTCTCATTCTGTTTTTTAGAATCATAAAAAGAAAAAAATAAAGCAACAACTGGAAAAAAGAAAAAAAGATTAAAATTTCGTCAAAAACCTGACTAGGTAGGTATGTCATGGGGGTACACTCTGGATTTTGATATTTTAAAATTTGATTCATTAAAAAGAAATATTTAAGGGCTGGGGATGTGGCTCAAGCAGTAGCGCGCTCGCCTGGCATGCGTGCGGCCCGGGTTCGATCCTCAGCACCACATACAAAGAAAGATGTTGTATCCGCCGAAAAGTAGAAAATAAATATTAAAAAATTAAAAAAAAAAAAAAAAAAAAAAAAAAAGAAATATTTAAGGCTGGGGCTAGGGCTCAGTGGCAGAGCTCTTGCCTAACATGTGTGAGACACTAGGTTAGATCCTCAGCACCACATAAAAATAAATATATAAAATAAAGGTATTATGTGCATCTACAATTAAAAATATTTTTAAAAAGAAATATTTAGAAAATTTATAGTTAGTACACATACATTTCAAAATAATTTTAAGACTACTAATTTTTTAAAATTATATTTTAAATATCTGTGCTTCAAGAAGCTCTTTGGTATGTACCCCTTTGATTAGTAATTAGTTTTCATCCCTTTGGGTGTCTTGCATAAATATCACTCAATTAGCATAATCATTGTTGAGTTCCTACAGTGGACCTAATGTGAAAAAGTACCTAACAGAATATGGCAAAAGGTACTTGTTCAGTAGACATTTGATCTTTGTACTGTAAGATATACTCTGGTAGTCTATGAGTCAACATGTTGAAGAGGTAACAAGAAAGGTACTGTATAATTATTAGCAGTTAGATTTTCACCATGAGTTTTCATATGTTGCTTTTATGGAATTAGAACATACATCCAAACACTGGTTAGCTATTCAATATTTACTTCCTTAATAATCTGTTATATTGATAATCAGTTAGCTGTCATCAACTTAAGTGTCTGTAGCAATGCAAGTACAATGTGGTAAATGCCTGAAAAAAACTTGACATTTTTCTCTCTTCCATATTCTGGGGTCCAGTCTAATTCTGGCCCAGACCTCTACTTACAAATAAAAAAAATACAGCTTATTTAAGCCTGGTGACATAGGCCTGTTATCTCTGTGTCTCAGGAGGCTTGAGGCAGGAGGATCACAAATTCAAAGCCAGCCTCAGCAACTTAGCAAAGCCCTAAGCAACTTAGCGAGACCTTGTCTCCAAAATAAAATATAAAAAGGGCTGTGAAAGTGGCTCAGTGGCAAAGAACCCCTGAGTTAAATCCCTGGTACCAAAAAAAAAAAAAAAGTTTATGCAGCTTTCCCTCCTCAATACTTATTGAATTTTTACATCCCTGAGGAGCAAATTTCAAACCTCAAATCAATTTCATACAATTTGTCTCTCGTTTGGAACTCTCCAAATTGGAAGCTACTATGATCACACATTTGAGTGTCATTTCTGTTCTAGGCTCTCTCCCCTAGAATAGGGTCACAACTGAACCAAATTATAGGACCATCTGCTAGTTGGTTTACTCATGGCATTCAGCCATTTTCCTGGCACAGGCAAAAGATTTGAGAAAAACAAGACCTGCTTTCCCCCATATGCAAAAAGTGTTATTTCTTCTGCTATTCTATGTCAATTAATGAGTGTAAATCAACAGAAACTAAATTAGAAGACCTCATATTTCAGAGAAATGTGCTATAAAGTTGATTTCAGTTTCAGGTTTAACTGTTTCCCCACCACTTTTTCATATATTTTCAGGTTCTCTTGGTTACAAATTCCTCCCTGTCTGGTGCTGCAACAATGAGTGGGAAATCCCTCCTCTTAAAAGTCATTCTCTTGGGAGATGGTGGAGTGGGGAAAAGCTCGCTTATGAACCGTTATGTAACCAATAAGTTTGACTCCCAAGCTTTTCACACCATAGGGGTAGAGTTCTTAAATCGAGATCTGGAGGTAGATGGACGCTTTGTAACCCTCCAGATCTGGGACACTGCAGGACAGGAACGGTTCAAGAGCCTTAGAACACCGTTCTACAGGGGAGCAGACTGCTGCCTCTTGACCTTCAGTGTGGATGACCGGCAGAGCTTCGAAAACCTTGGTAACTGGCAAAAAGAATTCATCTACTATGCAGATGTGAAGGACCCTGAGCACTTCCCCTTTGTAGTTCTGGGTAACAAGGTAGACAAAGAGGATAGGCAGGTAACTACTGAGGAAGCACAAGCCTGGTGCATGGAGAATGGGGATTACCCTTATTTAGAAACAAGTGCCAAAGATGATACTAATGTGACAGTGGCCTTTGAAGAAGCTGTCAGGCAAGTGCTGGCTGTAGAGGAACAGCTGGAGCATTGCATGTTAGGTCACACCATTGACTTGAACAGTGGCTCCAAAGCAGGTTCTTCATGCTGTTAAAAAAGTGTGTCCTAAAATTGGTCAATCAGTAGTGTAAGAATTACTGTGCCCCTCTAAGTGTGCACACACACACAAGAGAGTAAGAGGTAAGGTTCTGATTGGAAATCAGAACCTTTCAAATTGAAGTTATAGAATGATTAAAAAAAAAAAGCTTTATTGAGCCAAGTGTATTTTGCGTGATTTCTGCTATTTTCCCTTTCTGTGTGTCTCAGAACACTTCAGAGAGTTTTAGTCCTGAGAGACTTAAATATTTTTAAAAATCGCAGTTTAAACCTAGAACCCAGCCGCATGAAGGAGTTAAAGAGCTACAGCTATCCCTTAAGGCGTTCCATTAATCAACTAGCAAATATCACCATCAGACTCCTGCCAAATAGTTTCTGACATTTCTGCCAAAAGGAAAAACACAAACAAACTCTGAGCTATGTTATGATAAAATAATATACAAACAAGAATTTCTAAGCTTGAATTATAAAGAGATTATGATGATTAGGAATATAAAAGTTTAAGATGTACACTGATTTGTTTAAGTCCTTATATATGGTTTACTCCCATCTGAGATTTTCAAAAAAAATACCATCTCAATATGAGATTCTAATGATACCGGAAATTAATTGCAATCCTGTGATCTAAAGTTACAGGATACTAGTGAATGGATTATGCTTAAATATTCCAATCACCCCTGCAAATAAATGGTTGATCTGCTTTTTCTTCGTAAGTCTACTGTTGCTACATAGAGATGTTGCTTCTCTGACAACCTCTTTTCAATTTAGCAGTGCTGCTTAGTATATGGCTTTGGGTGCAGTGTTCCCTGTTCATAATTTAAATGGTCCTTTGGTTCACCATGCTGGCTTAAGGAGAAGGCTTCAGAAAAGTTTGGGAGATAACAGGCTTTTCTCACCAGGTTTGAGTCAAGACTCAAATAAATTTAGTAGAGTAGAAGGAACTGATTTCTTATATGTAGTACTGTATGTTTGGCCAACCAATCTAGGACACTGAAGGTGACAAAAGAACAGATTTTAATGTTGTGTTGGAATGAATTTCTTATAACTAGAGTTGTCCAACAGTGGAATAGATTGCCTTAATAGTGAACTCCCTTCCAGTGAAAATACTCACTGGATGATCATCTGTTAAAATACTATAAAAAGAATTTCTGTATTGGCTACATGTTTAGCATAAGGTCTTTTCCAGCTCTAAGTTCTGTGAATTTATAAACCATGTCAGTGCCATGTTGTGGATACATTTATCTGAAGATAACAGCTAAGACTGCAGAGAGGGACTTTAAAAATTCTCAAACCATTCTGTGATCAGCTTTTAACAGCAACTACATAGCTTTTTGCTTTTGCACTAATAGCAGGAAAAATCCTTAAGCTCTTATACAAACTGCCTAAAGATAGCATATTAAAAATGAAAATGGTTTGACAATTTTTATTACCATGACTGCCAATTGTGTACTGTATTATGAGCATGCAGTCTGGTTCTTGTTGGTTGATCTGATCATCCTGCATAGTTTTAATCTGTACTTAAAACATCTATGATAATAATCATGACCCAGTGTAGTAAGGGACAGTTAGAAAGGACCCTCAAAAGAGGGAACTTTCACAGTAATACAGCCTAGAACTCTCCATTGTAGCCACATATGGAATCAGCCTTACATGTGGGACCTTATGTGCTTTAAGAGCTCTGGGACTTTTTGGCCACATAGACAAGAGGAGACAGTTTCTCAACTCAGTCAAACTCAGTATTTCCAATTCATATATAGTCCTGACCCCATTGTCCAATTAACTTTGATGCCAGAAGTCAAAGCCAGAACTGGGACCCCACAGCTCTTAAGTATTGGTTCCTATCCTGCCTATGCCTATAGTGAGCCACACTGGTTTTCCAAGTCCTATGATCCTTTTGCTACAATCATGTTAGAGTGAAATCTGTATGTCAGAACTGTTAAATGCTAAGTATTTTTAAGTGCATGAGACCTGGGGCCTTCTCTTTTTACTTGCACTCTGCTTATAATAGTTTCTATTTGTAGATCTCAGGCCTTCGTAAAGACCTCCATCAATTCACAAAATTACTTGTCTTGTAGAGTGGCATGTGGTCATTTGAGTAAAAAGTTACATGGGTATTTAATTCATAGGTATCCTGTTCATCCAAGAAAAACTGTTAATTTTATTAGCAGGTCAACTGAAGCCCCTTTCTTCTTAGCCATACCATGTTTTTCTGCCAAATTACTACACAATATATGAACAAAAGTACTTAATGTTAAGTTACAAAAACAGTGGCATTTGGGTGCTGGCATATAGTTTAGGTAAGATTAAAACACCAAAGGCTGATGTCTGTGTGTACCAGGAACTGTGCATATAGGTTTAGAATTTGACTGTGTACCCTAGAATGTTCAGTGCAATATTTTCAATAGGTGTTTTTAATGAACACTAGATTTTTGGAATAATATATTTCTAATTAGAAGTATAGTGTTTTTCAATGGTCCATTAAAACATCATGCAGAATATTTATTTAGTTTATTGTCATGTATTGGCTAACTTTCAGGGGGCCTCAGATTCCATATGTCTTCAGTGGATTGACAAATTTCAGGTTCATTTGTGCCTGCCTCAGCCGTCTCTACATTATCTGAGGTATTCTACAATCTCTTGTTGCAGGTGCTGCTAAAAAATCTCAAAATTGTGTATCAGATATTTTCTTTCAATTGTATAAATTCATCTGTGTGAATAAAAGTGAATAAAAGTGCATTTTAAATAACCAATATACGATGTTTATGTTTCTTTCCTCCCTCATTTTGAGGGATTTGTGGGTGTGGCAAATAGTATTTGTCCATCAAATCACTTTTTTTCCCAGATGTACCTGATGTGTCCTCCAGATCATATTTCATGTGATAAGTTCCAAGCAGCTCTACCTAGTAATCAGGCAGATACTGCTGTATTGATTGGGAAGCAAACTCAAAAGATTGTAGTGGGGAGCTTCCTTTTATTTTATACCACTTCCTAATGCATGCAGTGTATTAGGAGTAGAAATCAGATCTTAACTATTTCTTTAGTACAATTTAAAATTAGTGTTAAAATATCATAAATAGAAACAAAATATAAATATTCCTTTTATATTCTTGACTGGTGAATTGTCCAGATCTTAGAAAAATATGAAAATATAGGTGAAACAAATCAGAAAACAAAGGCTAATTTTGTTAAATATTCTTATCTCTTGACTCTCACATAACAGACATTAAAGATACACCAGCATTTGGGCCTGGGGTTGTAACTCAGTGGTAGAGTGCTTGCCTAGCACGTGTGAGGCACCAGGTTCAATCCTCAGCACCACATAATAAATAAATAATTAAATAAAGGTATTTTAAAATGTATTTTTTTAGTTGTAGATGGACACAATACTTTTATTTTTATGTGGTGCTGTGGATCCAACCTAGTGCCTCACGTGTGCCAAGCGTGTGCTCTACCCCTGAGCCACAGTCACAGCCCCTAAAAAAATACTTAAAAAAAGATACACTAGCATCACATGGCTTGGATATTCATGATGGTGACCTTTTAATAATCTCTCCATTGCATATAATTTCATCATATTGATTCTATCTGCCATTTATTTATCCCTCTTTTCCCCTTTATCTACTATTGCCTATTGGAACTTTGGACAATTAATGTCAGAAGGAAAAAAAAATTATTTTTGCCATGTAATTTCACACCATGCTTCAAATACAGTACCTCAAATCCTTTAGATTACCTTATAATAATGCAACTTTCAGGCTATAGAAGGTCATAAATTTATAGCACCCTATAAAGGATTTACTCAGGCTGATGATGTAGCTCAATGGTAAAACATTTGCCTTGAAATGCATGAAGCCCTGGGTCTGATCCCCAGCATTGCAATGGAAAAAAGTATTTTCTCATTCGTGACTGATATTATCAAAGCAGAAAGGTGGATTTCTGTCATTGTTGTATTTCTGCCTGATTCATCACCCAATAGGAAAGCCCTTCTTGGTATCTTAAGAAATAGAATGGAGTCTAATTTAGGAGGGGGAATAGTTTGCCTGTGGTGCTTCTAGAAACTGGGGGGTGTAGAGTACATGGTTTCTCTTCTATTCTATAATCAAATTGAGGAATTCGCTTGAATAATTTCGGGAAGGAAGTTGAGGTGGGCATCTCTACTTTCATTTTACTTATTCAGAGTCATCCCTATGGCATTTTTTAACCTCAGTGATCCAGACAATTTCACTTCTTTCATTCAGACATTTCACTTCTTTCATTCAGACATTTCACTTCTTTCCTTACCGTGGAGATGTATCATTAATTATAGTGGAGTGATTTTTCTCACACTTGATTTTAGGGAAGGTAAACTATGATATCCTTAGTACAAACTGCTATAACAAAATGCCACATAATAGATGGCTTATAAAGAACAGAATTTTATTTCTCATGATTCTGAAGGTTGGGGACTCCAACATCAAGATGCTGGTAGATTCATTGTCTGGTAAGGGCCTGATTTCTGGCTCATAAATGGCACCTTCTCACTGTGTGGAGGAGACAAGGGGTCCCTCCGGGGCCTCTTTTATAAAAGCACTAGTCCCATTTATGGAGGCTATGCCCTCATCACCTTATTACATCCCCAAAAGATCCACATCCTAATACTACCATCACCTTAGGAGTTATGATTTCAACATATATATTTGTGTGGGGGGGAACATTCATGTCATAGCAAAATGTTAATTATGTGAGGGAGTTTTGGTATATTCACTAATATTCCCCTTTTCCAAGCTGATCTCTTTTATTTTCTCAAGTTTCTACACTAACAGAATCCACATTATTTAGTCTTTTTAACGGAAGGGATAATGACAGAATCTGGGCAAATTTACAAAATAAAATAAAGATTATTAAAAGTCTTCTTATTGATTTGCTTACAAAATCTGATGATCAATTATCTGCCTTTTATTTTGCTTTGTGGTGGTGGTGGTGATATTCATGTAATGTTTTCTTGGATTTTTTTTTTCAGAGAATAAAGGGTTACTTAGTGTTTTCCTAGTGAGAAAAAAGCATTTTCACAGCTCAAGATGAGAGTTATCACCTTTAGTCATGTAGGAACTGCTGCAGTGATCTGTGTGTCTTCATAAATCTCTTTGTCTTCTCCAAGGAAACACAGAGAATTATGATTCAGCCATAGATGGATGACTTTTTAAACAGTGGGCTTTATGCGTGTGAACATGTGTATTTTAGGTAATCTGTCGGTTCCTTTCTAGCTCTGTAAACTATGGGTAAATGTGCAATGAGTCTCACTATAGCATTTTTGAATTTTAACCAGACCTGCCAAGCTGTGCTGCTTCCATGGAATTGATAAAAAGGAATTAGAAAATGTTGCCTTAATGAAAGAAATAGTTCTTAATTCCACATTAGCTCTATCGATTAGAGTAAAAATGCAAATCATGCCTTCCTGTGGTTCATGCGTGAGCAAGCAAAAAACAAGCTCATATCTTCTCTTTTCCCTTACATTGTTCCTGGCTGCTTCAGAAAAAGCATATATTCAGGGGTGTGTTCTGTAATATGTCACTCAAAAGTCTGCTGATTGATGAACACGTATTGGTAGCCCTTGAATCTTAATGTCACCAGTAAACATTTTTAAACTTTGTCTTTATTTTTTTTTTCTTATTACAAACATCCATGGCAGAAAAATGAGGGAACAGAAGAAATAGAAAAGCAATAAAAAGAAAATAAAAGTCATCCTTAATCTTATTACTCCAAGATAAAGAGATTTTAATTTTTACTGAGGATTTTCAATATATATTTTATATCAAGAAGTTGATGAGATACTTATAGAGTGATTGTAATATTTTTCATTTAGTACACACTAAACTCTTTGCTGTCATCTTTTCTTTTAGGAATTATATTTAATATTTGCAAAACAATATATTAAAGGATTCGCCAAAACATAAGTAATCAAACATGTACTGCTAGGCAGGTTATTTTCCAGTTGTCTCCTTTTCATGAAATAAAGCAGCAGTAAGTGTCCCTAATATTAATCCTAATTCATATCTCTGTTTCCTATAAGTGAAATTTCTGGACCAAAGAATATGAATATTCTGATGGATTTTAGTATGTATTGCCAAATTGTCATCTAGAAAGTTGTCCCAAATAATATCAACACTAGTAGAATAAGAGCAGGCCTATTTTCCCAAACACCCACACATATAAAAAATTATCTTCCTTTTAAACCACATTTGCCCAAGTTGAGGGATGAGAAAATGTGTGTTTTCATTTGCATTTATTTAATTCCTTGAGAGTCATATTTTCTCATATATGTATTGACTATTTTTGGTTTTTTAAAGTAAATGAACCCTTCTGCTTTTTAGCACATTTGGGATGGGGAACATTCATTTTTATTTCTTATTGATTTCTAGGAACTGCTTTTTATATATTGGTGTTACCTTCAATCTTATCCATATAACTGTTTTTCTGCAATCCACTCCCATATGTCTTTCTTTTAATTTTGTTTATGGTATTTTAAACATATACTAGCCAATCATTAAAAGGATTGTGTTCTGATAAAATAGAAAACAATGGAAGGTGGGAGAGAAATGCCTCTTTGATTTGTCCCTTGTTCCTGATCACATTTGAGACCACATGTACTACTTTCTTTAGAAAGTTTATGAGCTTAAGCCGATGTCAACATGATAAGATAACTTATCAAAAGCAAAATATTCATTCATCCAGATACCTTATCTGCATGGTATCACAGAGCTGGCTTGAATTGAGTTTATTTTTGTTATAAGAACAGATTATTCTGAAGTCTTATACAAATACAGTGAGAGGAACAGTTCAGGTTTCACCCACAAGGGGACAATAAAGACCAGTGTTCTGCCATAGACTAACCACAATAGGCTATACACTGTTACACTGATGGGACACCTAGAAATCACCCATTTAGTCCATCCCTCTCTTGTTTTATATACAAGAAAACCAAAGTCTGAAGCAGTTATGTGACTTGTTCAAGGTCACAGGGCTGGCTAGTCAAAAAGCTATGCATTAGGCACTTTCCAGTTTACCATACTGTGATTTTTTTTCCTGATTTTTAAACTGTTTTACTTTTTTTTAATTGAAGTAAGATTCACATACAACCATTAACTATTTATTTATTTATTTACAGTACTGGGGTTTGAACCCAGAAGCACTTTACCACTGAAATACATCCCCAGCCTCTTTTTTATTGTTTTTATTTTTGACACAGGGTTTTGTTAAATAGCTGAGGGCTTTGCTAAATTGTTGAGGCTGGTCTGAGCTTGTGATCCTCCAGACTCAGCCTCCCATTTGCTATGATTACAGGCATGCACCTAGCCCATTAACCATTTTAAAGTATACAGTTTAGTTGTATTTACTGTACTCACAATTTTTTAAGCAAATACACTTAAATCTTCCTGAATTCAAATCACTAAACGGCTCTTACCTTAGGTTAGTTGTGTGAACTTGCCGAGCCTCAGTTTCTTCAGCTTGTGTGAGGGAGTAAACAATGTTTTCCTTACCCTATTGGTGTGAAGATTACCAGAAATTAAATGCATAAGTGCCTCGAAACTCCCCTGACAAAGAGTATATGGGAAATAAATCATTCCTATCCTTCAAGATGTTAATCAGCTACTCCCCTTCTAGCATTAGTATGTTTGTGTCACATTGAGAATAGATGCCAGAGTAGGATTTTTCCTTCTCTTGAATATTACTGCATTATTTATATTGGATTTAAGTGTGCTCAGAGGTTAAA